TAGTAGTACGGCCAGGAGCCCCTAGTAGCGTCCTTGTTCCTAGTAGCGATGCCAGGAGCCCCTAGTAGCTACTTGTCTCGAGTAGTACGGCCAGGAACCCCTAGTAGCGTCCTTGTTACTAGTAGCGATGCCAGGAGCCCCTAGTAGCTTCTTGATGTGGGGAAGGCATAGGTCAAAGTGGTTGTATAAGAACGTGTGTGTTTTTGTGGGCCATTCGAACTTAATTAATTGGTCAAGTACTAAGTACGATATGGTAAAGCGGGGCCAGGCTTTTTGATGCGATGCCTGTCTTGACCCTTGAGCGACTCTTCTTTGGACAAATCATCGAGCATGGACATTGCCCTTGCGAGCACATCTTAGAGAATCTGACAACTGGCTTTGGCTGCAATGCTAAGACGCAGGGACCCGCAGGCTGCCAGGGTCTCTCGCATGTTTTTCATGGTACTCGATTTGGGGCTCCAACCGACGCCTGTGGAAGTGCACCAGGGCCATGCCCGGCATGGAGCAGATGATGAATGCCATGATGCAACAGCCTGGCATGAAGGCGCAGTCCGTCGAACAGCGTCGTTGGTCGAACAAAAAAACGGATTGAAACTGAGTCACCAAGAAGCTTCACTGGCAACAATGTCCATAAAATAGGTGGATAATTTATGTCGTTGTTTCACCTATGCAGGAACTTTCAGGACTCTCTGTCGCTGGTTTGATACACTCCGGATAGCATATGTGGCAAATGTGACTCACAATGTCCAAAATTGAATCACGGAGTCAGGACGTCTCTGGATACCATACACGTCCGGTTGAAACACTTGTGTCCCCTTGCAGAGACTGTTAGTGAAGTAATGGAGAGATTGTTTTATTTATATACTTTGAGTAAGGTAAGAGGTTCCTTAATCTGCCGTGGGAATCAGACATTTGTGACCATGGGAAGGCCTTGCTTCTTTCAGTCAGATTTTTAGGCCCAGGCCCAAGGCATAACCCTTGCACCTTCCGTTCGATCATTCAGAGAAACGTGCGCCTACCTTTGTGTAAACATCAAACAAACATAGACGTCTCGGTGTCTTGAAGACGATTCCGACCACTTCAGACCCTTCAACCCCATGGGCAGGAAATGATGGCCGCGATGATGGGCCAAGCCCCACAGGCCGCAGCCGTGCAGCCCTCGAGCTGTCTTGGCGTGATCGAAGGGTATGCAGAAATGCCAGTTCAGATGCCTGGGATACACTCCCTGGTTTCGCACTCCCTGGAAGCGTGCGTGGCCCCGCAAAGGAGTGGTGATCTCCGAGCTCAACTGGGATGATGTTGCATGGGCACTGGATGGCACTGATCCAAGTGTAGTGTAGATGAGAATGATATCTCTCAGTTTGTGGGGCAGATGAGAAATGACATCAACACAGTGACTCCCCCTTAAGGGGCGCTTGGCTTGAACTGTACTGTTGAATGTTGTTGTTTTTTTCGGCGGAACTCGTGGTCCATGTATGGAGCACCAGCAAGAGAACAGTTTGGCATCCACCAGTTTGCTCATCACTTAAATTCTTTGACATTGGCATGGTGTGGTGTGTTACAGTTGACTTTTGGAGTTACCCACTGAGACCTAGAGATTGGACATCCCAAGAACACAAAGCTCCCAGTTGATCCTCACGAAAGTAGATGAACAACATCTGTGGTTCTTCTTGGGGAATGTTGTTAGAAACCTGTGTATGGCGCTGTTCCTTCTACCATTTGAGCATGCAACAGAACGCCACAGATCCGCTTCCCCTTCAGAACGCCACACCCCGCGACCCATCAACGGACGCTTCGCCCCGCTTCGCCGAGGCGCCGAAAGCGCCCGAGAGACGATCGCCGGAGCCAAGGCGATCCGCGGCGGGCGGCGGCGCGGGCGGCGGAGCGAGCAGGAAGAGGGTGGGCTGTGTGGGTCTCGAGTGGCCTTCTCGTGGCGACCCATGGATGAAGTGGACATCAAATGAAATAAACTGGAGAGTATGACTCAAATTGGTTGCCACCAGTTCCCTCTTCCCAGGTCTTCAGGCAGTTTGAACATAAAATAGACACATGAAATCCAAAAAAGCTCTTCGTAAGCTCTTCGTCTGGGTGGCGCTTTGACCTGGTCGTTGTTCCTCCGTCCCGGGTGCGACCTTCGTGTCGTTGAAGGTCCGTCCTCCTGGTCCGGGTCCCGCGCCGGGTCACCCGACGTCGTCGCCAAAGCCAAGGTCGCTGAAAGGAAGCTTTAAAGGCCGAGGCGAGGGCGACAGCAGACAGAAAACCAGCCAGAAGTGGAAGCGTGGGAGCCAGCGGAACAAAAGGGGCCGCAGAAGGTTTTTCAGCCGGTACTGGGGATGTGTTGGGGATGTGACAGAGAGATCCCGAGAGAGAGAGAGAGAGAGAGAAGTCTAGTCAAAGAGATGCTCTGGAAATGGTAGGCTTGGGACCCGGGATCGTGTTCTTTTCTCAGGACTGAATGCATGTCTTCTTTGCTTTGCCATGGGGAATCTTCCCAAAAAGTCGGCTGAACGCACCTCCGATCTGCCAGACGCACCGACGAGGCAAGGACCTCAACGGCGATGACCTTGGAGGTGGCGGCAAAGGCCGGCCGACCGGCCTGGCTGAGAGATCGCGTGTTCGATCCAGAGATCAGACATGGGTGTGTGTGTGTGTGGCGATCGACATGAGGTTGACGCGTGTGGTCATACACTATGTCGATGTGTTTGGTTCGCAGTATGGATGACAGTGTTCACGTCTCTAACGCAAGACTGACCAGCACTGAGGCAAAAGTGTGGATTGCTTCAAATGCGGAGGGCCCCACTTTGCTCGTGATTGTCCTGAAGGCTCTTGGGTCAAGCGCATGGCAGGAACAGAAGGACAAGCCGAGAGTGAGTTTACTCTGGAAACATCACTTCATAAGAGAATCCAGGAAGGGACTTCAGGACCAGTGCTTCGAGCAATGACACGACGACCTGGCCGAGGCTCACCCAAACTGCACAAAGATTGAAACCGGGTCACCAAACTAGGCCGACATGACCGACCGATTTGTCTCTCGACCAAGAGGCCCCAAATCAAGCGCCTCAAAGCGGAGTACTGTACAGAAGGACCAGTGGTGAAATCGGTTGCCCCAAGGTGTTTTGATATCAGTTGAGTACGCTTCACGAGGATTCATAAAGAAATACCCCAGCTTTCTTATATTGAAATGCCCCTGGTAATCAACAATGTACATTTGTCCGTATCCATGTTACAGTCACGGCTGTTGCGCTAGTGTGCGAGCGGGTGAGTGGGATTGGTTCACAGGAAACAACGAAAGAACTTGTTCGTATCATTTGCTGAGACCTTCAGTTGGCAACACAAATTAGTTGAAGGGAGATCATCAGCAGGCATCAGGCGTTTCATTGATTTTTTCAGGTGTATGCCAGGGTCCGTTCGCCGCTAGCTTCCAATGAAAAGTCTTTTGCTGTACTTCACGTGAGCAAACTGTAGCAGCTGTGTTCTACGGCAGCGTTAGTTCGGTGTCACCTCCCTCCGCCAGGTGACCGTGGCAAAGGCGCGGCAGTTGTTCTGACCACCAAGTCACGAAGCTGGCACTGAAGTGTTGCAACCAGTATTGAAACTGATAAGGAGACCCCGAAATGAGGAGAATGAACACTAGCCATGAGGAAAGCCTCGAAGTTTCAATACCAAAGTGTTGCCAAATGGCCCTCACCACACTAGGTACCAATCGGACCCGAGATGAGGCGAGATGAGGGTGACCTCTACAAACTGGCTACCTCATGCCCATTCGGAATTCTGGAAAAGTCGACTGCCTCAAACGCGAACGAAAGCCACTCAACCCGTTTGCCAATCGCAGGATCCATTTAATCAAAAGGTGCATCGCCAGGCGTCGCCAGGACCAGACGTGCTTGGGAACTGACCGTCATGGCACCAACTAATGCTGGCAAGGGTGGAGCCTTTGAAGAGGGTCGCCCAGCAGGCAGCAATTCGTTTCAGTACCAGGATGCACAGGATGCAGCCTGCACGATACCTCCCCAGATGATGTCGATCGGAAGCTGCTTCACAACCCACAAGGCCAGCCTTTCAGGCTGACACCTTTGTTGAGCCAGCATTCCACTTCACTGCCCATGTCTGATGCGGACGGTGAAAGAAGTGAATAACGATTCGCCTTGCCCTTCAAGGCGCCATGGAAAAATGTCTCGCCATCCTTCCCCATTTCGGTCATGAAGAGTTGGAACCGCTCCACCGAGATCCGCCGAGATCCGCCGGTCACGGCCGAGTGAACCTTTCTTTCGCGGGACATGGGACATCGGACACCGTGACGAGCGAAAAAGAAACAGCAGGTTCGAGGCCCACCGTGATGAGCACCCGGTGACTGAGTCTTTTTGCGGAGTGACGTGAGTTGAAACCGAAGGAAGCCAAGCAGGTTCCCTTTGGATCCTTCAGCAAATTTCTGAGCTGTCCGTATCAAATATGCATCAATCCTTCATCCTTCAGGCGAAATGGAAAGGCACTGTTGAAAAAGCTGCAGGAGTCCAAATCCTTGCTTTCTCGCCCGCGGCAAGAGCGGCAGTTGCGCGGCGCACGTTGCGCGGCGCGGCGCACCCTTGCACCCACACTGTGGTTTGTCACATCCGAGCGAGCTTTCAGACCAGTCCGAAGTGTGTGGATAATCTGGTTCCCCAGCAATGCAAACATTGGAGCCATGCAAGGCTTTCGCCCAAGAGAGGATGTGTGTAACTGTATGGATGTGTGTATGCATATAGAGAACCAGAGAGATAGAGTGAGAGAGAGAGAGAGAGCCGTTTGTGTGTAGCCAAGGCAGTTGCAAACGGTGAGCTTGCCACACGTCACCCCCAAGCTCATGCTGAGTCACAACGGGCTTTGCCCAAAAACGCCTTCAGGCGTCACGGACCCCCAAGCAACTGTTACCTTGTCTCGGTGATCAGTGGTCAAGCACAAGCGCACTCAGCCGAGCAACAAGTCGAGGACAAAAGGTGTTTCCTCCCTGAGGATCCACAAAGGACCACAGTGGGTGCCAAGCAAGGCGGCAGGTCCACCGCCCCGATGCAATACTATTAGGCTCGCGTTTGAGACCAGTCTACCTACTTCTTTTGGTGCGGTCGACCAGCTGTTTTTGCTGTTCGCTCGTTCGTGTCTCAACGTCAGTTCGGAACTCCGCCAGGCGACCGTGGTGGCAAAGGCGTGGCGGTGTCCGGTCGACTCGACCCCGTGGTTGCTCGCTGGTTGCTCGCTGGTGTCCACGGCAGGTGGTTGCTTCAAATGTGGAGGCCCCCACTTTGCGCGTGAATGTCCCGAAAGCGGAGGCTCGGAGGGCGACAGAAACAAGCAGTCACTCCAATTGTAGCTTGCAATTGTGTTGCTTGCTTATATTATATTGTTTCTCCGGTACCCTTTGGATGTTGATCCTCCAACTAATACTGTCAGTGGCCCCTTTCTGCTTTTCATCCACCTTCCTCGCGCGTTTGTGCGAGACCCAAAAGTCCCACAGTTGGCAGGCAAAGGTGGTGGTGGCGGCGGCGGCGGTGGTGGCCCTCCCAGCACCCTGCCGTCGTGGATGGTGGAGGACATCAAAGACCTTTGTGCCAAGTGGCAGCCTCAGATGGGCCTCAGCCGGCCAAGCTCGCGTTCGATTCCGAAACACCGAAATGGATGCATTTCCAAGAGACTTCCAGATTCTCTTTTGCGGGGGGTGCTAGATGAAAGCAAAATGCGCAAGGACGAGCAGGGAGGTCACTAGACCCATGCGTGGCTGTCGCGGTGATGCTGTCGTTGGATCTTTAGATGATGTTTCTTGGTTCTTGATTCTGGTTCACAGGAAGGATTGACTCCCCCTGGCTGCGGATGGCACCTCTGATTCGAACAGATAGATGATAGATCATAAGGTCATGTGACGTAGAGACACACCATGTATACTTCATGAGATTCCTTGAGTGGTCATGTTTCGAAAACCATACTCCATCAGGCCATACTCGATGGCTATCCTCTCCTCACGACGCGAGTCACGACGCCGACCGAGATGCGGAACGGGAGGGATCCGATTATAATTAAATTCTTTTTGTTACTAGTAGTAAGGCACTTGTTCCTAGTAGCAAACATTGTTACTACTAGTAAGGCACCTGTTACTACTAGCGTGGCACTTGTTCCTAGTAGCTTCTTGTTACTACTAGCGTGGCACCTGTTACTACTAGCGTGGCACTTGTTGGGGCGTGAGACCGGTCCGTTTGCAGGTTCAATATCGATGACCGTTTGGAGCGGCGCATGATGGAGCGCATGGAGTTGGGGGGCCGAGTTGGGAAAAAACCGTGAAAATGAGGGCCTCCAACCTACTAGCAATGGCCTCCACCCTATTTGGGAAGGGAGGTTGTTGTGTTTTTTTCTGTTTGAGACCTCAGCAGTTAGATTGCCACATCGGCTTCGATTTGACAGGTGCAAACTACTTCTTGTCCATTGATCACCAGCATGTCTCGATCTTCCACGGCCGCTTGTAATCCCTTTTTTTTCGCCAGCCTTGCTCTTGTTTATGACCTGCTTGCCCCCGTGCCTGCTCTTCTCGCAGGAATTCTCCATTCGACACCTTCATCTTCAATCTTCATTCGACTTGTGAAGAACGGTCAAAGCATTCGCCAGATTCATCACATTCAGTAATTTGAATAGGGCACCCCGCTCTAACCCAATGGGTTCCGTCGGTGACGACGTCGGTGACGACACGGGCGACGACATCGGTTCCATCGTGTGTCTCGTCTCGCATCGGCGCTCTTCGCCCGCAACAAGGTCCCGGCAAGACACCTTCAAAGAGGAGATGTTGACTGGAGTAGTGTTGCTGACTGCTTGTGTGTCCATGTTCGTTTCAAGACAGATCTACAGAGTGGGAAGCTTCGCAAGCTGAACTACAGAAGCAGCAACTCTCATCGCACTGAGAACTGAAGAAGTTTGAATGATCCCTGTTGGTTTAGAGGTCCTTTGTCCATGAATTTTCATCATGGGGTTCAAGCGTGAAATGGAAAAGTTTGTACATGTTCCTTCAAGGGGTTATACCCTAGAGACTTAGACTAGACAACAGTCCCCTCGAAAAGTACCTGCCAGTGAGGAGTATCTTTGCCATTTGCTCTGCTGCTGTGTCACTAAGAATAATTGTAATTTGTGACGCAGAAGGGGACCAAAAGCGTAGCGAGCCCTATTCTTCACAAGAGATCTTCAAGCCGCAGACAAAGGCCCAAAAAAATGATCTCAATGGACAAGACGTTTGAGAAAGAAATGCACTATCCTGAAACACTCAAAGAACCAGTGTTTGGTGTCTTCAACAACCCGTGTCTTCTGTAGCGTCCTTGCTCCTAGTAAAAATGCCCTTTGCTACTATATAGTAGCTTCTTGTTACTAGTAAGGCCAGGAGCCCCTAGTAGCTTCTTGCTCCTAGTGTCTTCTCCCAGTGTGTTTTTTGTGTTCCTAGTAGCGTAAGGCCCGGAGCCCCGTTCGTAGCGTCCTTGTTCAGGACCTGCGGAGCATCACGGAGACCCTGGAAACGGTGGGGGTCGAGACACGGGTCGACTGTCTTTCCCACGGGTGTTCGGTGGGTCGACGTTCCCCAGTGCCATTTCAAATGTTACAGAATCAGGGGGGTACAGGGTAAACCGTGAATTCACACGGGGATGTGCAAATGTTGTCGACATGCCACACCTGCAAACCAGACCAAACGCGACACTGGTTTGTTTCAGTGCGATTTCGCAAGGAAAACTCTTGTGGAGCTCGAATTGCACAGGAAGAGTTCCACAAACTTCCCCCTGTTCTTTCAGGTGAGCTACTTCGGAAACGACATGACCATTCCAAAAGCTGATTTCCATTTTTCAGTGTCCTAGCGGTGACCCGCCATCGGTCTCCCGACATGTCGTGACGGCGCCGTGAACTTCCGCTATGCAAAAAAACACACGAAAATAACATGAAAAACATATTTTAAAAAACAAAAAAAAACAACCATGAAGCAGTTTTCGTCCGGACTGGTCACAGGTCTTCTCTCTAAAGTATCGACGGTTCTTGATACGCCAGCAAAATCCCACCACGGGCTCACAGATGCGATGCCATTGTCCAGACCTTTGCTTTTAGAATTTGGGGCAACCCGCAAAGCCTAGTCCCCACTTCGGTCTACAGATCTCAGATGATCTCAGATCTCTTCAAGAAAGGTTTCAAGAGTGAGGACAAACTCTGCTTTGACCGTGGTCCTCTCTTTGTTTCCCCGATGTTCGACTTGTGGCACGCATCACACTATGTCAATCTCAAGTTGTTTGGGTCACAACAATGAATATGCTGAAGTTCCGATGCCTCGTGTTTTTTCGGCTACATGTACAGACTCAGGTTCTCTTTCGGGTTTGCCATGCCGGGCAGTTGTTTCGACCCACATGGCGGTCGAAACCAGGAGACCGAGCGGAAAAAACGTACCTGGTGTCGGTCGGTTCGCTACGGGCAAACGGAAGGTCCGCATTTGCATGATGCAAGCCATTTGCAGTCTGCCTATTTGCATCACTGGCATCATGCCTTGCATCTGAATACTTTCACATCACATGCTTCAGCTTCCCCCCACGTCCGGCTGGAACCACCGGGCACCGGTTTCGGAGGTTTCGAGTCCACCGAACGACCAACGGCATCTCCGTGGGTGACGGAACCCCCGTCGACCCGTCTCACAGGCACGGAACCCACCAGGGTTGCTGTCCGTGAAGCTGCGAGAAATGGAGGTGCCATGGCCGTGGCCACGTGCGATGGAGTGACACGGACGTCGAGTGGGCGTGAGTCGTTTGGGGCTTTGTCTTGGAACACAGTGCCTGTTTTCGGAGTTTGGTTGGTGGTTTTGAGGCTTTGGGAGGCACGAAAACTGAACAGAACCCGGGAAAACAGGTGAAGATTGGCCTAGTTGGCTGTCCAAGATTCATTTTTGATGTGAAAAGGGCATCCTCTCTGAAGCCAAAGAAAGCAAACAAAAACCTTTCGAAGGGTATCAAGACAACAGAGTTAAACAAGAGAAAATATCTGTAACATGACCCCATCCGGCTTCAAGTTATATAGATGTTAATTGTGCCTTGCTTCATTCATGTGTCATTTTTAGTTCGCGTTTGATCATGCCAAGCTATTGAGCGGATGCCTTCTGTTTCCATGCTTCGAAGACATCTGCCAGGATGGCTCATTCGTCGCGAAAGGAGGCACATCTTGCTGTTGGGCAGGATATCAATCGCTATTGGAGTTCACGACCACATGGCCACATGACCATGACCCACCCGTTTACGCCAAGACAGCCAAGACGTAAGTGACGTACGGATTGGTCCGTTCCGTGGCACCGCTCTGAACGGGTGGGTTCCGAACACAGAAAAGCAGCGAGCACAGTGCTCGACGTCGTTGTCCAATCTGTTGCGGTGGAGGAGTGGTATCACCGATACACCAGCACTGCCGCACTGCCGAAGGTTGTTTAAGCACTGGTGTCTTTGTTTCGGTTCAATGGCACCAAAAGAACGAATGCAGCTAACATGATTGGAGATTTACTGAATGCGGCTGCGTAGATCGAGTTTACCAATACGTTCTCAGTCTCTCGTGTTTTTTTGTGCCAGGAAAGGGCAAGGGCAAAGGAGGGCCTGGCAGAGAGTTTGGGAGCCCAACAAAGTCGCAGTCGCTATGCCGCTCCGCTGGTTGCGTGTGTTTCGGTGTTGACCATCTCCACCGAGGAGTCTCGGAGTTGTTGTGCGTTTCCAAAGGACTGCTTTTTTTGCCACGCGACCAAGTCCAAGGCCAGGGCAGGTGGCGTACGACACGATACTGTGCCACTCGAATTCTTGCGTACCCGTGTCCCAGCAGTGCGAGGAACCACACGCTGTACGATGCCTTTTGTCGATTTGTGTCGATGTTCGTACAGATTGTTGCTGCTTGGTCAATTGTGATCATGCGGAATGTGGAAGTTCTGAGCAGTGAGGAGCCACTCCAGTTCACCCGAGTCACAATGTAACCACCATCCAATTAGGACTCTCACCCATTAGATACAAAGCCAAGCTGGTGATGCATTCGGATGATTTAGTTGATTTTCCCGGGTTTCATCCCTTCACCTGGGAGACCGATGTCTTCTGTTTTCGCTTCGTCATGGTCGTCGAGTGAGTCGTTGGTTGGAAAACGCTGTCAGGCTGAGTCCACCGCCCCGGTCAAGGCCTGGAGGGAAACGACCGGTGCCACGAAGGGCCCGGCGAGTTCAGACACCGAAGAAGGCGAAGCATGCAGAAGGGAGTGAGAGTCTTGCTGACTCGAAACGAAGCATGCACCAGGTGGTTTCAGCTGGTTTTTGTATTTTGTGTCACCTTTACTTGGGATGATTTGAACCCAACTCATGTTGTTGAAGCGAGTTGAAACCACCAACCAGAGCAGGATTGCGGTGACCGTTGTGGTGTTGTGTTGACAGGACTTCCGCTTCCGAACAATGGAAATGGCAGAGAACGGGGCGACAAGACCTCCGGTGGCTACACTCGAAAAAAAAACGACTGATGTAAAAGGTCTAAAGGTAAATCCATTGTACTCATATTGTCTAAAGGTCTAAAGAATTCTCTAAAGGTCTAAAGGGTCGGTCAATCCATTGGTCTATTCATAGGTGGACCCCCTGCCCCCTGGCCGGGTAGCACTGGTCTATTTCCCGAACCTTCCAGGGGGGTCTGACGTTGGGCTCGGTCTCCCTATGGCTTTTGCCAGAGAATGGCTTTGGACAACCAGGACCCTCCAGGCTAGGTCCTGGCACTACCCCACACGACCCCACACGACATCACGGATGGCTTCCTGGAACAGGGCACCCCACACTCCTGTCGGGCACCCCGTGGCGTCGCCCAACCGCTCGTCACTCACCGAGGCAGAGCCCCCCACCCCGGCCCAACCGCTCGAGGTGCGGTCCGCGGACCGGTGGAGGCGTAGATCAACCAGGGTGTGACCTACCGGGCGCCGGTTCACCATGGTCCATGGAAAGGAAGAATACCTTTGCCAAGGATGCAAGAAGAACACCTGACCTGAGCAAAGGATGCTTAGTGATGTATATAGAAGGAAAAGTTATACCAGCATAGACCCTAAACAGAGCAATGTTCAAAAAATATGGCCAGCAGTATTTCCTAGAGGAAGAAAACTGTAGTCCACCATGTAGACGCACATACAAGATTCAAAGGGAAAGAATTAAAATTCTGTTTTTCATTGACTTTACAATGGGACGCCGTACAAGGGCTAAAACATGAAATTTATGGATCCAGGTTGTGACATATGTTGCCCCCCTTGTAAACACGAATGCGCAGACCCAATCAAAATGAAGATTTCCTCAGAGCACGGACACTGCGCTTGGCTTTTTCCTTCCTACGCAGTTGCCTTCTTTGGCTTAGCCATGTACTGCATTGACCTGTGTTTGCCATAGGTCGCAACACTTGACGTAAGAGTGTGTGATTGCTTCGTTGATCATCCGCACGAAAGTAGCTGCCAACCTTGTGCGCATCAAAAAAATTAATCGGCCCAGCATCCAGCCAAGCCCGGGGATACAAAGCATCCAGACAGGCCATGGGAAACAGGTGGAAGACAAGTGAGCTTACTGGGAGCCAAGTCGAGACATGTGGGAGACAAGTGTGAAATCATGCGGCCAGAGCACTCAGAGCATCCAGAGCTTACTGGGAGACAAGTGGGAAACAAATGGGAGACAAATGGCAGACAAGTGTGAAATCATGCGGCCAGAGCACTAGAGCATCCAGAGCTTACTGGGAGACAAGTGGGAGACAAGTCTGAAATCATGCGGCCAGAAATCATGCGGCCAGAGCACTCAGAGCATCCAGAGCTTACTCGGAGACAAGTGGGAGACAAGTGGGAGACAAATGGGACACAAGTATAAAATCATGCGGCCAGAGCACTGAGAGCATCGAGAGCTTACTGGGAGACAAGTGCGAGACAAATGGGAGACAAGTATAAAATCATGCGGCCAGAGCACTGAGAGCATCCAGAGCTTATTGGGAGACAAGTGGGAGACAAGGGTGAAATCATGCGGCCAGGAACACAAGCCCGGAGACAAACTCAAAATCATCCGGCCCGAGCATGCACCCCTTTAAAAGGAGTAAGAACCCCTCACAGGTAAACCTGTTTGGGAAAAATGGTAACCCATGGGGGTTTTTGTTTGGTTCCAGAGGGTTGCTTTGGGCGTTGGTCGCTCAGACGGATTTCCCCGCTGGGCACACCCTGGGCACACCTGTCTACACCTTAAAAAAAGAAACAACAACAACAACAACAACAACAACAACACACACATGGCCTGTTTTTTGGTCCATTCCTTTTCGCGATCCTGCTGAGAAAATGCGATTCAACAGCTCGTGTTGGCTGCGGTGCCGGCCGATTGATGGCCTTTTCTCACATGTCGAAGTCCGATGGTCCAAGCGATCAGCCAAAGACATGTGTGTCCTAAGTTCACAAATGATATCGAACTTCTTCAAACTGACCTCTTGAAGGTTCCTAAGTGACCCTTAGGCGGCTTAAGTATGCTTAAGTGACCTCAAACCAGGTTATGAAAAGGTCACTTTGAAGAACCAGGATGTGAGTTTGTGTTGTTCACCTGGAACTAGAGGTTTGGTGCAAAGACTCGTTGAACAATCCTTTGTGTAGACCACTTAAGACTTATTCTGGACTTAGGTGGCCGGTCTCAACTTGGCTAGGTTCGGCAGCCATGGCTACTGCAGACTGCTACTACACCGAAGACATCCAAAAACCAATAAAAACAATTCTGATCAGGATGCTTAATTAACGTCCAACCCAAGAGCGATGGCCTCCATTCTACAGAAGCGATGGCCTCCAACAGAAGGCTCAAGTTAGCATGCTTAGGGTTTGGCATAACTAATTAAGAAGCTACTAGGAGCAAGGACGGGCATCGCTACGAACGGAGCGATCGGACGCTACGAACGGGGCTCCTAGCCTTACTACTATAGGAACAAGAACGCTACGAACGTAGATACGTTTTCCGGAAAAAAACGGTGAAGTTCCAAGACGTCCATTGCCGTGTCTGTTCCACTCCCACATCGCAAGGTCTCGGTCCCGCGACAGCCGCAAGAAGGTCTCCCGAAGGCGTGGACGGCGAACGGAATGCACATGTCTTCGAGTGTGTGGATACTTCTCCCAAGATTAGCTTAAGAGCGACAAGAAAAAGTTGGTTCTTTGAACTGGTGACCTTCGAAATACATGCCGAAAAATGTATTGAGTAGGTTCATCCTTGTTGTGGTCTCGGTCCCGATACCTCCTCCGCTTCCGAGATCGATCACTTGCTTTGGAAGACAAAGCCCCGATTCCGCTAATGGTGGAGACCATTTGCTCAAGTTGCTCAAAGCATGTTGAAAAAGCAGGTCTGCTTGTGCAGACCAAGTGACCAAGCATTTTGTCAAAGCCCAAAAGTCTGAGCTACTAGGAGCAAGAAGCTACGAAGAACGGCATCGCCACGAACGGAGCAAGAAGCTTAAGCCTCATGTCGCTCATGGCGGCGGCTACACCCATGACTCCGCCGAGTCGGTTTGGCCCAGCAACGCACCAACCACGGCCACTTCGGTACGGCCCAACCACGGCGCTGCCGTGGGGCTCTGGCGGTGCTGTTTCGAAGGCCGCCCTCTGGTCATGGGCCGTCCGGTTTCGAAGAGCGACAGGCTTCGGGCCGCGAAGGCGGTGCCGCCGTACGGTGTCGATGTCGTGTGCAGTGAATGATCGGCCTTTAGCATTTCCAGTTGTTGTGCTTGCGGTTGCCAAGCATAAGAGAAGCTTCGGACGCTTTGAAGTGGCCACAGTGGAAGATCCTGAAGTTCCTGATTCTGGCTGTACTCTCAGTGTGATCGTTCGAACGGGGGAGTTCAAGCCTCAGGATACAGCAGTCTTGCTTTTGATTGGGACACGCGTTCCTGAAGATCTTGCACGGCAATGTGGATGGGAAGGGCTTCTGGCGGAGAATGACTTTGTGTTGAAGCCTTATTACTTTGGACGCGGCTATTTGTCCAATGGGCTCTTGCTTCCATGGCCGGAAGAATTTGGAGCGTCCCCGCTCGACAGTCGGTCCACTGGTCCATTGGAATTGACCTCGTTTCTGAAACTTCGAAGCGCTGAAGAGCTCGACAAGATCAGCGCCAGGTCTTTCATGATCGAGATCGGTTTCGATGGCAGCTTTCACGGATCGCAGTCCAGTGGCTGTGATGACTTGCGGCCCACCGTCTTGGGGAAACTTCTCAAAGTTTTAGCACCTCTGGATGCTCGCGACGTGAGCTCAGGAAGTGCGGCGCCCGATCACGAGCCCCGGCCCAAGCGGATGAGCCAATGGGTGGCTTTGAGCAGGGTCGATGCTGGCGTCAGGGGCAGAAGCTTTAAAGTGACAACGCCGCCTCTTTTGTGCAGAGGTTCTGTAGACATCACAGAGGCTTTGGCTAAGCTTCCTTCCAGCATTGCCCTTCATCGAGTGATTCCCATGCCAAGGGGCGTGGAACTGAGTCCGGCTTTTGAGATTGCCAGGGAATATGGCTACTACTTGCCGGCTGCCATCCTAGGAGACAGCTCTGCCACATGTTTGGATGGTATTCTGCAAGACTTTTGTGGTTCCCACTGTTTTGGGAACTTCACGGATATCAAAAAGCTAGAAGGATTGAAGAAGAAGATTCGACGGAGTGTACCACTTCAGAGATTTGCTCACAGCCTTCAGAGTTGGAAGCGTTCAAGAAGGGCTCCCAAAGCTGATGGCATTGGTTGGGAGGGCTGGAACGATTCGACTCCCGTTTCCTCGATTCCAATGCATCCAGACATGCGTGCGGCCTGCAAGCGACATGTCCTCAGCATTGCAGTTGATGTCAGAAGAGGTGGAACAGATGACACACAGCTGAAGGGTTTGATTTGCATTCGTGTGAAAGGATATGGATTTCTTTACAATATGATTCGCTATTTGGTGGGATCTGCGGTGGCAGTTGCAACCGGTAAGCTTTCCTCTGATGTCTTAGCCACAGCTATTGAAGGGTCAATATGTATTGATCTGTCCGAATTCCTGGCTCCAGCCCATGGACTTGTCCTCCTTGACCAATCCCTTGACAGCTTTTCCTGGGCGTCCCAAGCTAGCGAAGTGGCAGCCCATTCTGCAGACGAATTCTTGGACCAAAGACTGCTGCCAGAAATTCAGAAGGAATGGGAAGATTGGCAGCCAAAAGCTGCAGCCTGGATGCGGAGCCCAGTTCAAAGCCCCTGCACCTGACTGGGATGACACTGAGGGTGAGTTGGAACACAGGAAAGTCATGCAAAGGAACCTAAGCGATGGCCTCCAACCTACTAGTGATGGCCTCCACCCTAGAAGAACCCCCTTTTGTTTGTTTGTGTTTCCTTTTTGTTGCTTGGATGGACCTATAGACCTTTCGTATGTCCATGTACACTCCTTGTCCCAACGAAACCTTCTGGGAGCAGCCAGTACTTAGTAGTCTTTGCATGCGTTGGCAAAATGCAATCAAACACATCGTATCGCTTGAAGGGGACAGTGGCATCGTTATAAGTCAGTTATACACGTGTATTTGTCCCAATCTTGTGCTGCCTAACTCAAGATGACCAAGAATTGCTCCTCTAGATAGTGTGAACAAATGTTGGCCTGCAACACCTCTAGCCCATCCTCCGGTAGGTCATACAAGCCATGAGTCGAAATGTATCTCACATCCGGCGAAGAGCATGCTGGATTCGGATTCCACAGTTGGATTTCTACGTTAACCCAGGTGAAAGCTCAGATCGGCCTTGCACACATATTGCCACAATAACAAGCTGATGTTGGAACGAGCAACTTGAGTACAGTCCTGTCAGAACAGAGAGAGGGGGGCGATTCTCAATCTTCTCAGAGATTGCCTGTTCATTCTTCCATCCTATCCCATCCATGGAACTGGAATATTTACCTACATCGACCCTGAAAGCACTTTAAGATCACCCCGAGGTAGGCATATGGATACGGTATGGATTGTCAGGGACACGAACTCTTGCTCCAACTGAATGGCCAAGTCCAGTCTCATGGATTTGCTACTAGTAGCTTCTTGTTACTACTAGTAAGGCACTTTGTTACTAGTAGCTTGCTACGGGAGCCGACCAAAAACCTCTTCGATGTGGATCCTCCCGGCTCAGGAGTCGCTCGCGCTCCCGGCGCTCCAGCCGCTCCAAGCGTCGGGGCAGGGCAGCTCGAGTGGGCGGAGTTGTTCACGTTGAAATCTGAACGAATAAAAAACACGGATGGATTCATTTAGATGGATTTCATATGATGAGAACCAATTAGATGGATTTCATATGATCATATTATCAGATCATATATGGGTCCCTTGAGATGGATGTCATATGATCATATATTTGATCTAAATGAAAGCCGAAGCAGATGGATATAGATGGAAACCAACACACAAAGCACGTTCAATGTTTTTGCTGGAACTATTGCATTAATGGCTGGGGCCGGTGACATCCGTGGAGAAACGCTTTGGGATTGGTTCCAACAAGCTACAAAGGGCATGGCGTCCTTGCTCCGTTCGTAGCGATGCCCTTTGTTACTAGTAGTAAGGCCAGGAGCTACTAGTAGCGTCCTTGCTAATTCCAGGACCAGACTTGTGGCAGGTGAAGATCACCAAGTGGTCGAACGAAAAACTGGTCAAGTATGAACTGATTTGGGGCTAGCCAGGTGTAAACAAAACTACTCAGAGATCCCCTTGTGCAGGGGTCAATTGAAAACAAAAAAATACTCAAACCAATACTCGGGGCAGGCCATCGTGATTAGGTTGGAGGCCATTTCTTCTAGGTGTGTCTTTCTTATGTCTTTTAAGCAAAGTTCGTTTTTCCACAAGAATACTCGAAGGATTGGTGTGTTTTCGATCCAAGTCCATGTCTGGATCGGGCGACTGTGCGGCCGGGCCACGGATGTGTGTTTTTGTCCCAAAACGGCGGTCCAACGATTCGACTGAACAAGACAGGTCGAACCAAAAAGGGAGCTGAGTTTGAGCACGGTGAAATCTCATGTGCTTTTCGTGGAGCTCAGACTCAACCCCTCACAAAATGCATGGTTGACATGTCATTCTTCTTCACCCGCGAACCACACCGAAGAACCCTTGATCGAATCGAACGACGCTGTGCAACGACGGCGCGGCACAGATTGGTTCATCCGGTGGAGACGAGGCGTTTTGCGAAATCAACGCTCGGTGGCCGCTGTAGCCGTATAGCCCTTGGATTGCTTGCAGATCTTGATCGGGGAACAGGCAGGGCCAATGTGTTTGAAGCATTGTTTTACATGTCCTGAAATATGCAGCTGGTGTTTTGTTTTTTGGGCTGAGTCGTTATCTTGGAACAAGGCCAAAAAGAAACGCCTGTCGTTGTGAAAGGCAAATCTTTTGAGAGTACAGTCGTGAAGATGTTGTGTCATGAAGTCCAGGAGATTCATATGGAGGCAGAACGTGTGTACGTGTATTGTGTATATTTGTTTTTTATTTGGAGGTAGAGCTTGTGTATGTGGAAAAAATATATACATTGGACTCTCTTGGTTGGGTATGAGGAGATTCAGGCTTTGTTGGATTTGTTCACGGAAGATGTTGCAAGAGGATTGAATAATCTAGTCTACTTCTTTCCAGCATCCTAGTTGTCTTGTGAATGAACGTCGCTGACACATTGGAGGGCATCGCTATTAGGTTGGAGGCCATTGCTTCTAGGTTGGAGGCCATCGCTGTTAGGTCTGTGTTCAACAAATGTCACGTCTTTTTTCGGAAAAAATGAGATGCCGCCAGGAACATGGCACGCCTTTTAGCCTTCGCTTCTCTATTGGTGCCCAGCCCGGGCTTGAGCGGCTTGGGAGGGCAAGGCGATTGGTCAGTTAGTCCGTCAGTCTGGCTTCGTTGGCCAAGGCGACTGGGTCATTTCGGGACCACCGTCAGGGCGGTCTTTCAAATCAACGAGCAGATTTCACAGGTATGGGCCAAGCCAGGGCAAGCCCATCTCTGTACAGATAGCTTACTAGGAGAGCTAGGATTGACGTTCAAAGTCACAAAAGGATCCATTTTACTCCTCAAACCTCCTTTTACTCATCAAATCCATTTGACTCCAAAACCTTCAAATCCCTTTTACTCCTCAAAACCCCTCCCCCAAAGAGATCCAAAAGCCCGCCCAAACGAGACCGATGCCCCTTCGACCTGCCGGTGCTTCCACCGGTTCCGATGCGGTGGGATCGAGGGTGGTCCGACCTGAGCACCTGGTGAGAGGGGCGTAGAGAACACACTGGCTGAAGCCAAAGGAAGAGGTGAAGACGGAACGACAACGAACGGCGACGTGGCCCACTGAACTGGGGCATGGGTCAAATGAGGATCAACCATCCTCCCCTTCGTGCCGGACCGGAAGGCTAACTCATCGTTGTAAATGTTTGAACGCGTTGTTTTCGAGGTAAGATCAAGTCATGCTCAAGCCAAAAAGTATGGCCACCAAATCTCCATGAAATCCTACCATCTCAATCGTTCTAACTACATTGGCTTGTGATTTCCTCCGCAGCTTTCTTTTGGAATGCTCCGCGGCGCGTCTGCATCCCACGTCGACGCCCTTCGTCGGGTCGCGTGGTTCCGACCCAACGCGGACGTGCGCGGCGTCACTGGACCGCGACGTGCGCTGCTCATGGCGAATGGCGACGTGGCAACGTTCGCTGAACTCTCTGGAGCTGTGCTTCGATCAGTGCCTGTGCGGCAAAAGTGCTTTTCATTGGGTGAAAAAGGTGGGGAAAAGTCACCCCGCGGGGGGTGGAATTGGGATAGAAAGAAACCCAGACGCTCAGACGCTCATGGACCCGGGTCTGGGGCTCAAATCCCTAGCTTTTGAGGGAACAGTCGGGCTGTGTAGGGGTCGCGTCTGGGAATAACAAAAAGCACCGCAGCCATGGAGTTGAAGATACCACTTTTGGAGACTCCTGGCTGTGGAAATCCGACCCGACCACTGGAGTGGATCGAGAGGATTTTCAAATTCGGCTCGAGGCGCCATGTGTCCTTCCCGGCTCGTCCTCTGTGTCTGAGGAGATGGCATCCAGTCGTGGCCTATGGCAAGGCCATTGCAGTGGCTCGGTGACATCAAATGATCGTCGACCTCCATGTGCGGATGGACACATCAAACATGGCAAGCACAGCAAGTTGCGACGTTGCTCGCTCCCCTTTTCTGCGCTAGTGAGTTGGGGAATTCGGTGGTGACTGGTTTGAATGTCTACTTTCGTTCTGGAAACCCATCCTATAGTCTCTCCAAGCACGTGTTTGTTCCAGTTTGAGTGTCATTTGAAAATTGCGCTCCATGTCCAATGCAGGAGAAACTTGCCACCGTCCCTTGCAACAGCCAAGTGTAGGAACACAGTAATCCACAGTATCACATCTCATGGTTGGAGGCCATCGCTTCTGTAGGAGGCCATCGCACGAAACTTGTAGTCCGAACATGGCACTCACTGTTTTGGTGCGTTCGTGTGGTGTGAGGTGGCAAATTCACGTCCATACCAGCCACAGTGGCCGCACCACCATGTAGAAGTGGGTCAAAGCTTGCATTGAGGACCTGGCACTCCTCAGTCTTCCTAGCTTTGTTCATTTCATTTAGTTGGAGTTTTGAATATGTTCATCCTGGGTAGCGACCAAGACCCAGGGATGGAGCTCCAAAAACCATCACCGTCTTCCTCCCCCCGTCCAATCCTTGCCGCTCGCCGTCCACCAGGCTCAGCGGCAGGCCTCGCTCTGGCAGGGCGCGCTGCTTGGGGTGCGCGAGCTGAGTCGCCACGCCTTGCAAGGCGCGGCCCGCGGAGTGCGGATCGCGGAGGGTCGTCATCGTGTGGGGTCACCCGGAGCGAAGCATCGATCCGCCGGGGCAACCGGTTTTGGGTTTTGGGGTAAACCGGAGAGGGAGACGAGACGAGACGGGCGAACGGAACATTCTGTTACAAATGTATGGTGAATGTGAGGTGTTCTAAGCTTCTCAGAACGAAGCCAGTGAGCATCCTGAAGATTTCGGAGAAGCACATGGTTTGTTGAGATGAGAAGCACATGGTGAACCTGAAGAGTGGCAGCACTGGAAGCTATCGTGCAGGAGCGATTTGTACAGTGTTTCTGGACGAAAGCGCACTCTCCAATCAAGCATGAGCTTGAGCTGCAATCTAGCATGCGTAGGTTGTTCCATGACCAGGAGTGCACACGCACAGCGAATTGGAGACACAAGAGTTGCTTGTTCACGTTGCTTTCAAAGCCACTTAGAGCACATGTTTGGGTGATACGTGAATCAGGCAACACAATTACCTGGGGTGCATGCCTTACGGCCAGCGCGTGGCAAGAGTAAGTTGGCTGCAGGGGCAAAAAAAAGCCTCCGTTCGGCTTGAAAGTTGTTGTCGCACACTTGTATGACAACAGAGACAACCCTCAACCAAATCTTGGTAGGACTCCTAATTATATTAGAAACAAGAAGCTACGAACGGAGCAAAGGGCATCGCTACGAGCAAGGACGCTACGAACGGGGCTCCTGGCATCGCTAGTAACAAGAAGCTCCTATCTCGCCCTTTGGGGAACAAAGGGTCACTGCAGTTCTTGTGGCCAACGAGCCCGGCCTCCGTTCCATCGACCGTGCGTGCCGGCGTCGCTCAGGTCCTTGGCGGCCTTGACGCACATGCGATGGCCGCGGCCTTGGTTCGCCGCGAAGCACGAAGCACGCGGGGAGCCGTGGACGAGGTCATGAAATCCACGCGTCGGTTGTTGAAGGATGAGGCTAAGCACCGTCGTTGCGAAGGACACAGCATTTGAGCCTGAAACACGTGCATGCTCAGACACTGTTTCTTCACAGATTATCACAGTTGTATCAGCTGCTTGGTTGGATGCCTATTGCCAGAGATTGTTGAAAGTCTCCAAAGACTCAAGTAGAGCGCTTAAGTATTCGGTATTGCAGCTTATTCGGTAGACATCCTTTTGACCCCAGGCAGGGTGTGGAGCTCAATGCGGGGAGCCCTAGGGCAAAAGGTGAGAGGTGTATGAGCACGGTGGGACAAAGAAGGCTTTCCAGCTAGCACGGTTCCGCTTATATGTTCGGACCACTGGAACGCAAAATGCAACGCAGGGAGAAAAGCAGAGGTTTCCCAATGGTCTCATACTGTTGAAGAAAGAGAGTTTCCATGAAACGCGTGGACACGCCATTGATGTCCCCGGC